TGCACATCAGCCCGCACACCGCACACCGCACATATCAGACACACACATAAGACATCAACTCGCTAATAGACCTCTATCTAGGCTCGCAATCATTGACCATTGCTATCTGCACTTCCTCCTTCACTAGGCCATGCTGCATTGCATCAATCTCAATAATGGCTAGAAAGCATTGCAGTCAAGATGTCCTGCGCTGAAGCCTCCTCAGTGGCGGCAAAATTACCCTATGCATTCCGTGGCACAAGGAGGAGCATATTATGTGCACTTGGACTTGCAACATGCTCCTCATGTTGCCTGCTGCTCTCCTCAACACTCACCTCAAATTAGCCCCGATATTAATCAACTTCACTGCAAGCNAAGGAGGTGGTGATGGTGGTGGTGGTGGTGGTGTTGGTGGTGGTGGTAAAGGAGGGGGGAGGCGGGAGGGACAGGAGTTTGAGGAGGTTTGCTATGCTGCTTTAAATCGGTTGCATAAACGCCTAGCTACCGTTAACGGAAGCCCAGGCCACAGCGCACGCAGTCGTGAGCCTTTGTAGACAGACGAACATCTCCACCGCCGCCGCCGCCGCCGCCGCCGCACGTAGTGACCGCAGCCCTGACTAGCTCGTGACTTTGTTTGTGAGAAACCTGACTAACGCTGCATATACTTCATCCGCTCCTTGCACACTCACTTTCCTTCGTTAACCAAACAAAGCCAAGACCAGTGGATGCTTTAGTTGAAGTCTAGTCCCCATTAACTTGAAGGACACCGCTATCCCCTCGTCTGGCAACCTTTCGGACTGCGCTTTTTAGTCGTCGTGGTAGTTTGATTGGTTGCAGTCTATAATTCGCTGATTTGTCACGAGGGTGGAACCTTCCTCTGAGGTGCGGTGTGCGTCTACCTCGATTGTGGTGTTCGGCAAGTAGTCATCAGTGAATAAGAAGTCGTACGAAGTGGTCTTGCGCGTTCTTCCCTATGCCTACATGAGTGGGATTCTGAGTATTCGTCGGGGGAGGAGGAAGAGTAGGATAAGACTGGAGAGAAGGGAGAACGAGTAAGCGGCACTGCTCCAAACAGCTTTCGCAGAAAGTGTTTCCGACAGCCACTTGGCCTCCATGACGCGGCTCCTCATTCATCTTCCCAAAGCATTCTGGCTATCCTGATTTCAGTACAAATTTTCGGACCCTATTTCAGGCCATACTGTAAAAAGGTTTTGCCGGTTCGACAAAGTTGATGCAGAGTCCGGTCCTCATTTCAGTGGTGAGGACCTAAAACGCGGCGCCATGTAGCCATTTCCTAGTCAACTGACCACGAATTTCTTACTAATATCGACTCCAATACGCAGGTTTCTGTTTAGTGTCAGGGTTAGTATTTGGGGGTTAGTGTCAGGGTTTTGAGTGAAGGTTTAGGGTTGGGATTCAAAGTTAGGGTTTGGGGTTAGGTTTAGAGCTGTTACTTAGAATTTGGGTTTAGAGTTATTATTTAGGGTTAGGGTTTAGGGTTCTCCAGTTTACCGGTGCCGCCGCGTTTAGGCCACTGCCCTGACTTATGTAGACATGAGAACAGGAAGAGCCTGTAACGCAGGTGGCTTCGAGCCAACTTCCAGTGAAATTAGGGTTAGGTTTGAGGTAAGGTTTAGTGCTAAGTTAAAAATGAACTTTAAGGTTAGATTTAAAAAGAACGGTAAAGTAAATCAGGATAAGTTCAAGGGTTAAGGTGGGGATTAGTGTTAGCTGCAGAGCTACGGTTAAGGGCAGAGCAAGACTAGAGAAAAAGTTTAGTTGTATATTAGCATTATTGTTGGGGCTAGGACAGGGGACTATTTTGACCTTTCTAGAATTTTGCGCAGACTAACGAATTATATCTCACGGGCCCAAAATATTAAGAGCAGTAAGTAAAACTGGTCGGCGAATAAGACTGATATTCAAAACATAAAATAGCCTGACAGCAGAGCACGACAGCGTAGCACGCCAGCGAAGCGGAGGTTGTCCAGGTGCATTATTTTCGTCCCGTTAAAACAAGCGAGATTTTCAAAGGAAGGCTAGTCTCGTTACCTCACCACAGTACCTCCCTCCGATACCTGAAGGTGACGTAAAAAGGCGCCGGAGGATATGCACAAGTCTAGAAGAAATGCATAAATAAACGATCAGGGAAATGAACGTGACGGCCACTGCCAGTGATATAAGCAGGAGATACAGTTGAAGAGGGTTGAGTGCGCGCTACGGTGAAGGAGGATGAGGTTGTAGTTAGATGCTGTGGGAAGGTGGGGAGAGGAAGTATGCGGGACGGTGGAATAGAGGGCAAGGGAGTAGAAAAAGTGGAGAAGCAGGAGATAGTGAAGGCGGAGTAACAGGGGTTGGGGGTCGGCACATTTTTGTTCTCATGGCAGGTTTGGTGGCTCCTCTGCAACAACAGCCTTGACCCGATCGACATTGGCCACATCCTCCTAATCACCGCAAAGAATCCGGCAGGTCTTGGCGTTGCGCGCGAGCCCGCGGAACGGTCCTTCGTAGGGTGACTTCAGCGGCTGACGTACACGGTCACACCGGACGAACACATGAGTACAGTTTTCAAAGTCATTTTCGACATAAGACTCAGTCATTGTAGTTCGAGGTGGAACTGGGGAAAGCGAGCGCATAAATTGGTGCAAACGGTGCACAAGGTTGTCAGGTGTCTCGTCGGCACCAAGAGAGGTTGGAATGATTATCTCGCCTGGCAATCTGAGGATAGTGTCGAAGACCAGTTCAGCTGCGCTACAGTCCAAATCCGACTTCAGAACTGCGCAAATGCCGCGGAGTGCAAGAGGAAGGTTGTCCGACTAATTTCCTGGGTCTTCTACGGCACGCAGGGCTGTCTTTAGCTGGCGATGGAAACGCTCAACCATACCGTTGGCAGTTGGGTGGTAGGCTGTCATCCGAATGCGTGTGCAGCCAAGGAAATTGAGTAGTGTTTGGAAGAGTGCCGACTCAAACTGGGCACCACAATCAGTCGTAACCGTCGATGGGGCACCGAACACGGCGACCCAACGACTGAAGAAAGCCTTCACGATGGTTTCAGCCTGCGTATTCGGCAAAAGAATGGCTTCAGCCCAGCGGGTGTACCGATCAACGCCGTTAAGGTGCATTTAGTCGTCGGATGGTGGCAAGGGGCCTACGACATCCAGGTGCACATGGCTAAAATGTGCGTCGGGGATGGAGAATGTGCCTTGTAGGCACTTTTTGTGCTAGATGAGAAGAGACGAGTCCCAGGACGTAGTTTTGAAGAAGGAGACACGATCGCTGGGACAAGAACTTTATTAGGCTGGCGTTTCGGATTCCTGCTCGAAGCCATCATCAGAGACAAAAACAGGTACGGATGTTTCATGCACAAGGGGCTGCAGTATTTATAGGATGCAATCGTCATGCTACAGCATGCCTGTAAATATTGACGACTCCCCCCTTCACCAGGGATCGTTGCACTTAGTGTGCTGACTATTTGATGGCTGAAATTCGCGTCGTTAATGGCTGCAATTTCATAACATGTGTTGGATGTTAGTGTGATGATTGCTCGACCATCTGATACACCCACCCGGGCTTTGGGAACAGCGTTCACCTGTGCGCCTCCCACGTGGCTAATTACTCTGCCTAGGCGAAGTCTCAACGCAGAGTATATGAAGGGGAAGTCCATTGCACTTGCTAATAAACTGGGGGCCAGTAAACCATGACTCAAGCAGCTCCCGGCTCATGCGGTTTACACCTTTTGCGAGAATTTCGGCCTCGTCGAATTTGATTGTGTGGCCGGATCTCGTCGAGTGAGCCGCAACTTGGGAGCTGGCGTCATTTCTCCGCACCGCTACAGCGTGTTTGGCCATTCGCGTTCGAAGCTGTCTTCGAGTTTCTCCGACGTAGTTTCTATGTCTGCATCTGCACCAGATCCGATAAACGACTCCAGACGTTTCTTGCTGAGGCAGCGGTCTCTCGGTTTCATTATCTGACGCCTGACGGTTGCCTCCGGTCTGTGTGCCACTCCAACCCCAAGTGGTGCGAGAAGGCGGCCGACAGCTTCCAAAACGTTCTTGATATACGAAAGCGCTCACCACAATTAGGGTCCATGCGGTTAGGCCTTTCTTTCCTTTTTGCGTAGGCACAGGTTGACGAAGGTACGCGGATAGCCATTGGCTTTGAAGATCCGTCGGAGGTATTGTAGTTCGGCAATCTTGTCTTACGGCGCACTACAGTGCGTTGCGGACACCAAATTTTGGCGAGCGTATCCGTATGTGGTGTTGAATCGGTTAGATGTTGTTGAAGGACTGCCCCTACAGCTACGGTCGAAGCATCTACCATCAGGGACAGCTGAGCTTCGGGAGCGGGATGCGTGAGTAAGGTGGCGTCGGCAAGGGTATTCTTAATTCTCTCAAAAGCAGTCAGTGCTTCACCAGTCAGCTCGAGTGGGCCTTTGGGATCAGAAAGCATGCTGGTGAGTGGCAGCATGAGGTCAGCGCAGTTCGGTACGAAACGACATTAAAAGTTGACCATGCCGAGGAATTGTTGCAATTGACGCTGGGAGGGTGGTAGAGGTAAATCACGAATTGCTTCAACCTTGGAAGACAGCGGAAGCAAACCTTCAAAGTCGACATGACGGCCGAGGAATTCGAGCGAATACACACACAGCACGCATTTGGAGAGGCTTATGGCAAAGCCAAACTTGTCAGGGCGGTCAAACACCAAGGCAAGCTGCTGTTTGTGTTCTTCCGCAGTTCGGTTGGCCACCCAGAGGTCAGCGATGTGGGCATACACAAACGGCAGGCCACGTAAGACATCCTTTGGAACGTTTGGACGGTATTACGAAAACCGAAAGCCATGCGGATGAATTCGAAGAGGCAAAATGGCGTAGTGACGGAAGTTTTGGAAGATCATCGGTGGCGACCGGAAGTTGATGAAAGTCAGGCTCCAGGTGAATTTAAGAGAAAACCGCTTTGCCGATAAGGGCTCCAGCAAAATCCTGCAAGTGAGGCACCAGATACCGATCGGGAATGTCGGCGTTGTTAAGGACACGGTATTCGCCAGAGTATCCAGTCGCCTGTTGTCTCTTTGACCACCATGTGCAGGAGGGACGTCCAGGGTCTCTCGGACGGTCGAATGATTCCCACTTGCAGCATGTGTTCGATCTCCGCCTTGGTGGCCTGGAAACGCCCCGGTGCTAGTCGTCTCGGCCGAGCAAACACGGGAGGACCTGAGGTGTGGATATGGTGCACAACATCATGTTGGACCTCACCACTGCGAAACTGGGGGTTAATTATGTTGGGGTGTCTAAGAATCAGTTGCCGAAAGGGGCCACCAATAGCTGTATTCAGGATAGACAAACTGCAGGAGGTAGTGAAGGGAGTTAACCCATGCACAGAGAGACCAGATGTACAGTAGAGGAGTCGGGATCGTCGGCGATCAACAAGGAGATCGAACTCGGCTGGAAAGTTCGAGCTAAGTAGTGCATGAAGAACATCGGCAATCACAAAAACCCAGGAGAAATACCAATGAAGGCCAATTTTCAGGGTGAGGGACAGACTGCCAAAAGTGGGAATGGGGGAAGAGTTGGCAGCTTGGAGGTGAAGACCAGGGTTAGGGAAACGACGATCATCTGCAGTTGGGGGAACAATGCTGATTTGGGTTCCAGTGTCCACCAGGAAACGTCTGCGATTCGCAGTGTCTCAAACATAGAAGGTGCGACCAGAGCCGGGAAAGCCAGAGAAAACGGTCGCGTCTATTCTCCGGCTAACTGGTTTTCCTGTTTCGACTTAAAAGAGCAGGGTGAGGAACAGCGACGGGCCTTTGCACCGAAACTGGTATGATACCGTATCTACACAACAGCGAGAGCGTGAACTGTGTGCGCTGCAATCATCTAGTCAAATCGCATGTTGGAAGGAGAAGACAGAAGGCACCAGAATGACAGGTTTAATGTAGACAGAACCACCAGTTGTTCTCTCGGGCGGCAGTGGCCACTGGCAAAGCCAGGGCTGGTGTTGACTGCGTCTAGTCACGCCTGGAGTCCGTGGGATAGAGATGGCAGCCACATTTATAGGGTTGTGGGTCAAGCTCAAGTGGTGTCCAGTCAGTGTGTGTTGCATTTGCCGAGGGGTGGCTTGTTTTGCTGGTTGCAGGGGGAGGTACGTTCAAGTGGCCTTATGGGCAGCTGCGGCTGTGCGGACGCAGGTATGCCCCAATTGATGTCGGTCGGGTGACTTCCTGTCAGCACGTCTGGGACGGCGCACTGCAAAGGGGTGTATGACCTTGAGGCAGCGAGGTCTTGAACAATGACGCCAGACCCGTCATGATGTCTGCCCGCTACAATAACAACAGATATCGGCAGTCCGAGGTTGTGAGCGTGAACGACGACGACGGCTGGGTGAGGGACTAGAAGTAGGGTGTTCGAACTGTATTTCAGGGGACCATCTCATTCGCCATGGTCGACATCTGCTCCACTAACCGTTCATTCACTGTCGACGAGGATGCGGAGATCTGGGCAACGAAGGGGAGCCGGGACCTCTGGACCCCTATCATTCGAGCTGCTATTTTAGCCGGTTGTGAAACCGGGAGATCTTGGGAACCGGACGTCAAAATCGCTTGAACACCTGCAGGCAGGCTCTCTAAAAACATCGCCTTGACGAGTTTCTTGTTAATTTCTATGTATCCAAGGGGAGAACGCATTTGACGTGGAGGTTCTGAGGACCTCATGTAACCCAGTGATTCCTCCTTAACCAACTGGTGATACCGCTGTTGGCCAGACACAGCATAAAGTCGGGGGATTTCTGCTTTTAGCGTCGAATAGGGAACATGTGCAGGGGGGATTAGATGGCATGGACTGGACTTGGGGGATAACACTAGCGGAGAGAACCTCCACAAGTTTGTGGAATTTCGCCAGTCGCTTAGGAACGTTAGCAGAATAAAAGGCTGATTCGATGTGGATGAAACTAAAGTTCTGGAGCAATTTGGCAGAATTCGGGCAAGGTAAAATTGACGGTACAAAGGGACTAGGGGGGAGCATCAAGTTGTTGGCTGGAGTGTGAGAGTGAGATGACACAATATCGACAAAAGTGGAAGTAAATGGAGTAAGAATTCACAAGTAACTGTACCACTTTAAATGTTATTCATTATGACAGAGAAAAGTATAAAGTCTGCCCTAACGGGGGAGGCACAGGTTCAC